AGCCGGTAATTACATCATAGAATGACTATAAAATTAGGGTTTGAATTGCTTGCTGAGAATTAGCAAAAGCAACCAAATTTGACTAATGCATAAATATTGACCAATCAATTTTTGTCAAACGACTAATTGCTAATGCATTGCATAAGAAAATGTAAAAAGAATACGCTATTCGCTTATAGCAAAACAGAAGCGTTAGTTGCATAAGCGAGAACGTTGCATATATTCCAAACGCTTAATAGTCAAAAATGTAAAATCGACTATTAGCAAGCAATCAAAATGAAACCAGTTTGCGTTTTTTTGTTGTTGCCAAAGCATATTCTTTTTACATTTTCTTATGCAATGCGTTATGCAAGCAATGCAATTCAAACGCTGTATAAAATTTTATAATTGCTGAAATAATCTGAATTGCACTTTGATTATCATTTATTTATATTAGGAGCCTTATCAGTTATTATCTGCACATATAATCAAATATTTCCTCTTATATTTGCAAATTTAAACAATTGCAAAGAGAGTGTTTAGAGTTGCCAACATAAGACATATAAGACACATAATACTTTAAATTTCTGAAAACTATTTGCCACTAGTCGATTTTTATTTAAAATTTATATATTTAGTGGTTTTAGAAATTTATCAAAAAATTAACATATAAAAATAAAAATAATTTTTATTATTTAGAATTTCAAAAATAATAATAGAATTGTAAATTCACTTCGTAGTTTGTAAAGCTAAATGTAGCTCTTACTTTATGTATTAAATACTTAAAAATTTTAAATTGTTTTATTTGAATATGAAGCTGTCTTCAAATATGAACTTTTTAGATTCTAAGCTGTAAGGAAAACACTTTCAAAAGCTTATGTAGTCAATTGATATAAAAGTCTTTCAAATTAAGAAGCCTCCGCGCTTACGCACTTTACTCTACTCTATAGCTAACAACTCTAACAGAAGCATGATTTTTATCAATCCAATGATTATAACATAATTAATTTTTTTGTTATAATCTACAGTGAAGAATTATTTGCATTCCTCACATACAAAACAGCAGGCATTAAGGGAACTTTGAAGCACTTCTATTGTTTGTTTCTGGTTTTTTTAAAAACTCAGTTAAAATTCTTTGGAGTTCACAGTTTGAATGACTTAACTTTTTTATATTAAAATGAGTTAACACTTCAAATTCGAAAGACACAAACATTAAGAGCAATATGTACTGTCATTAAGTGCCTTCAAAGATTTTAAACTGATATAGCTAAGAGTTGATTGATCAGGTTTATATATGATTTCGTTTAGTGAGTTTTACGGACCAAAAATTTATGAAATTACAATTTGATTAACATACATATTATGTTTTTAATGATAATTGTCGAGAATTAATTGTTAACAATAATTTTCAATTAATATTGAACTAATCATAATACTAAATTTTGCCTGATTTAGTATTTTTTATTTCAATTTCATGTGATATCATAAGTTTCAAATTAATAAGTTAATGAATTGTGAACAATTTTTAAAATTTTTATAAATAAATATAATAATGATTGTCAAAAATGTTACCAATATAAGTTAATTAATTGTTAATAATTTTTAATATGTTAACAATACAACAGTGTAAATTATATTATATATTAATTAATAAAACTATTACAATGTATTAATTGTAAACAATACAATTAACATGTTTAAACTTGCACGATTACGTTAATTGTTAACATTAATTGCTAGCAATTAATTGCTAGTTAATTAATTGCTTACATTTTTTTAACTGAGAAATACAATTAATATATTTATCCTTACCCGATTTTCTATTTTTTTGATTTCAATTTCATGATTATAAGTTTAAGGTAAATAAGTCAATAAGTTAATTAACTGTAAACAATTACTGTAAACAATTAATGTATATATCTTTCTGTGACTTTGAATTTCTTGAATTCAATTTTATGTTTATAAATTTAAAAATATTGAAATTAAAATTTAACAATTAAAAGTAAAAATATTATTAATTAATTCAATTATTCTACAGCTGGTTTATGATTTCGTTCTAATATAAACATAACAAGTGAATTTGTTAATAAAACTTTCACAGCAAAGAAACAGAACTCCAGAAAAATGTGCGAACATAAAAAGTTAAGTATGGCTTTGGGTCAATTGTTTAAGGTACGCTGACTCTGAGCTTCAAATTTGGCAGAACACCAGTTCGATTCCTGGTACTTGCAATTTAAAAAAATTATTTACGAATAATTAAATACAAGAATTATTTCCAAGATCCCTGATGATGTGTATTTGACAGTACTTGAAACAGCTGTATGGTCAGCCAAAAATTAAATTAATTAAAATAATATAAAATGTATTTTTGTTGTTATAATTCACTACTGTTCGGAAAACCACTTTATAAAAATATCTTTTAAAATAATGCTACTATTATTAATATTCAATTATTAATATTAGTTAATATTAGTTCAGTTATTAATATTCAATAAAAATATTGCATAAGTACGTGACACATACGTGATATTAAACTCATATACGCAACCTGCAACAGGTGTCTTAACTATTTGTGTCATGACTACAACACAATTTATGATTTTATACAATAAGTGAATGTTGGCAACTCTATTTACGTGCATATTGCTTGTTTTTAGCTCGTGTGCCCCGCATTTCTGCTCATTCGATTGTGCCTCCAAGGGAGTTGTTACTTAACAATGCTTGGCATTTGTACGGTGGTGTCGATTCCAGTTGGTTTTTGTGGTAATTGCGTACGCACTTGCGAAATAAAAAGTCATTACTTGATCAATAAAAAACCTAAAAGAAAAAGGCTACAAATTAGAAAGTGTCGTGACTAGTTTTTCATAAGTAAAAAGCAACAACAAACATGGCAAACAAGCTACACAGTGGTATACATCATGCAACGCTGCGGTCGCTGCAAGAGTGCGGCTGTGAAATAACGCCACATAATCTTATGTATCCTTTATTTCTTATCAACCAAGATGATGCAGTGGAGCCTGTGGGCAGCATGCCTGGCATAATGCGTATGGGTCTGAATAAGTTACGTGCACACCTTACACCTTTAGTGGCAAAAGGTTTAGGCTCGGTTTTACTATTCGGTATTGTGGATTCAAGTATGAAAGATGATGTGGCCACACATGCGGATTCAGAAAAAAATCCTGTAATGCGTGCTGTGCCGCAACTCCGTCAATGGTTTCCAGATCTGCTTATAGCCTGTGATGTGTGTTTGTGTCCGTATAAGAAAGATGGACATTGCGGTATATTTGGTGAGGGCGGCATTGATAACAAACGGAGTATTGCACGCTTGGCTGAGGTGGCTGTGAATTATGGACGTGTAGGTGCACAAATTGTGGCACCATCTGATATGATGGACAATCGTATTGGTGCCATTAAACAGGCTCTGGTTGCTGCAAATTTAGAAAATCGTGTATCTTTACTCTCGTATGCAGCGAAGTTTGCGTCAAATTTTTATGGTCCATTTCGTGATGCAGCGCAGTCCAAACCAGCTTTTGGTGATAGGCGTTGTTATCAGCTGCCGAGTGGTTCTAAGGGCTTGGCAATGCGTGCAGTGCAACGTGATGTACAAGAAGGTGCTGATATGCTAATGGTTAAACCTGGTATGCCTTATTTGGATATACTGAGAGCAACAAAAGACACTTATCCGCACTATCCACTGTTTGTATATCAGGTGTCGGGTGAATATGCGATGCTTTACCATGCAGCACAAAATGGTGCTTTCGAACTTAAGTCTGTGCTAATGGAAACAATGAAAGGATTTAGGCGTGCTGGCGCTGATTGCATCATAACTTACTTCACACCGCTGCTATTGGAGATACTTGAGGACTTGAAATGATACCGAAGTTATTTGCTCATCAATAGAAGTTTAAAGTCCAACTGTTTTTTTTATGGAAACCTACATTTCATATTAATATGAGTTAATTTTGTTGAGCTGGTTTCTTTCTGGAAATTCAAAGGTTTTAATAATTCATTAATATTAAGTTTTGTTTTTATTTTATTTAATTATTTTTTGTTTTTGCAATAATATCTTTATACAATGAACGATTTTTTAAGTGACGGCAACTGGAATTTTTTATAGTTTTTTTATTAGATATTTTACATTAAAAATAGTTAATTTTAATTAAGTGCTTAGCTTTTTGTTAATTTTAAATTGAATATATTAAGTTTTTCTTTTTATTCGTGTTGTAAATGTAGTTATTATAAATGCAATAGAATATTTAATTATTTTTAAAAAAAAGTGCAAAAGGTGTCTCCAGAACAAAACTACAATATGTAGTTTGACAATAATTTATTTAAAATATGTTTAACAGAATTTTGCAATACATTATGTCCCCAATTTGTGAGAATTATGCAAATAAATTAGTTAAAAGTATTTTTATATTTAATTACACATACAATTTTATTTTCACATATATACGTTAACACAATGGACTAATAGGCCTAAGTGCATCCTTTGATTCGACGGCATAACCTAAATTTAATTAACATATAATAAAGTTATTTATAAATTATTTTTAAATAGCGTTAACCATAAATTCAATATAGAAATTAGTTATTATCACAGTCATGTTACTCTTAAATCTATAAAGACAGAACCAGAGATCGACACTAGGTCGTCTCAAAAAGTTATGTAGCTCCACAGCGTTTTTTTTTTTAAAGCCAAATAATATTCTGGAATGTTTACCATTTCACTGCTAAAACCTAAGTAACTTAACCAGATCGCATAGCTAAGTGTAGCAAAACTTCACCTTTTTTTCAACACCTTTTTTTTTTCAATACCTTTTTTTTTTAATACTTCACCTACTCAATAAACAACACCAGAGAACAGTAATGAAGCATATTTCATAGCTTCTATTATTATTGTAGCTCGCAATTATCTATAAAGCAGATAATATGAAAGAAATCACAAAAAACTATACATGGGTTAGGATATGGAATATGTATTGGTAGTGGGCAAGGGGTTGGGATTATTTAGGAGTAAAAACGGATTGGGGAACTTTGTTACTTCTAGTAGCAGGTATTTGATTTTTATATACTTCTTTCTTACTTTACATTTATGTTCTCTAACAATGAATCTTACCATGCTCAATTAATTTTACCATAGAGCTGCAAAAACCAGATTTCGTAACTTCTAGTGACAGTTATTTTAATCCAACTATACACACTATTTAAAACGCCTTTATGTGGTCTATTATTAAAAGCTTTTGAGGTATATCATTTTATAATTCTATTACTTAAAATTTTCTTTTGTATAAAAATATGGAATAAATGCTTATATTGTTAAAAATCTTTTCGCAACAAATAAGGAATATCAATTTCAAATTAATTATGTCATAACATTATATATATATTGGGACAGTGATGTCCACAACTTCTTAATACGCGCCTAAGACCAAAACATTAACAATCATTACCATAAGCTTAGTTCTTAAAAGGTTTCAGTTATATTTTTACCAAGTTTAATAACTAAATTTAATATTAGCACTCGTTCTTTGATGCTCATTTTTAATAATACTCTATAAATCTATAATCTATAAATGACCTTATAGATTATTACTATAGTTTCTTTAAGATTCTAACCAGAACGGCGGAGATACTGCATAATGGTTTTATTTGTTAAACTAGTAGTTAATAATTAAGTAAACTGCTTTTTGTAAAATATTTAACAACATATAATAAACGATAATAGATGTTAGTACCTATATTTGGACCCATCCCCTGTTCCAAATATGGCCAGGTTTCTGCGGCTGAATCCAACTTAACATTCAATTTCATTCCACCCAGCAAATCGTCTTCCCCACATTCTCTTCTCTCTCGCTCTCCCCCAACCATTGACCTACCCATGTAATCCTTTCATGTTATATGCTTATAGGTCCCAGCGGATTACAACAACAACAACATTGTGTCTATATAAAAGTTCTACAGTTAAATACTTCAATCATAATCATCTACATAAGACTTAGAGTTAGTTTTACAATTTTCAGTTAAGTTACTTACCATTAATTATTCAATAATGGGTGCTACGTCGTCACCACAAATAATACACTTAAGTTTGGATTGTAAAATTGACGCTTAACAATATCTATCCGTTCCTTTAAATTTGTTTCGATTTTAAGTATATGGTAACTCCTCTTTGAAGCCATAGTTTGCGATATTATTTTTTAATGTTAAATAAAGATTATAACTTCTAATAGATTATAACTTCTAAAAGAAATCAAAAAATGTAATATAAAGGTTTCATAATGTGACTTGGTTAATGCTATATATAAAGATAAAACTACTCTTATGTGTAATAAAATTAGTTTATATATAACATAATCAAAATTAAAGACAATAAAATTCAATCAATAGAAAATAGAACATTATTTAAAACTTTACAAATATATATGTATGTAAGCATATATAGACATTTCTAATAATAATAAAGTAATAATAAACATATATGTATGTAAGCATATATAGACATTTCTAATAATAATAAAGTCTTCCATAATAGAACAAAGTTGTTTATATACCATCGAACAAACTAAACGTAATGAAAGACTGATAATTCTTTGAAATGAAAATAGTTTTCGCTTCGATTACAATTTCATGGTTACATAGTGCTCTAACGTAATACAACATAGAGTAGTGGCCGGCCGGCCTTCAAAACGTTATCAGTTTCATGTGCAAAATTCAATATCATCGTTTTTTCCCCAAATATATGATTTCCTGCAAGTCACAGTTCCTAATCTACATACAGATTTTCTACTTACCGAAAAAAGTATAAAAATATTTTAAGCTTAGCAAAATGTTTATCACCATACAAAATTGGTAGTCCCTACGTCATCGGTAGAATGTGGAATAGCTCATAAAAATTCTTTTTCTAAAATTTAATAAAAAAATCTGTTTAATTGTTAATATTGCTTCATTGTTTAGCACTTGTGTTAAATTTTTATTTTATTTATTATTAATTTTATATCAAAGATTATATATATGTATTAAACGGGTAAAATGTACTTACTTGTATGTGAAATGGATGTAATAAATATTTTAACATATAAGAATATTTAATTTTTGTTTTAATTCTGTAAATGTGTTAATGAGTTTTAACCTTGAGTTATTGACTTAAGTTGGGTTCAAAATTCTATGAAAAAAATTATGTATGCGCAATTTTTGTACTCTGAGAATATTTAAGCAAGCACGATCGTTTGTTTTATGAAAGAAACTCAATGGCATTCATCAAAATATATAAATATATTTATTGAATTTTTACGAAATTGTTTAAACATTTTAATAAAAATCTGTTTTATATTAAATTTAATTAAAATTTATCTATTTTATTTCAAAGTATATATACATAACGTCCACTACATCTTCATACGCTTGCAAGATCAGTATATGAATAATCATTACTATAAACTTAGTTCTTTCAATTCTTGAAAGGATTCAGTTAAATATTTACCAAGCTAAAATTGAGTTAAGTAAATTAAAATTTTCTACAGATATTTTGCACTGCACTTATTTACCAATTTACCTCATAAAAGTGTTGCAGTAAATTGATGGTGAAATTTATTTATTTATTGATGAAATGTCTTATAAAATTTTCACAATAGTAACACCTAATTTACCTAATTTTTGTCTAATTTACCCTATTCGATCCTCTGGTAAATACCAACATTCGCTGTCATACCAACATAATTTACTATTTCCCTCAATTTATCCAAACTCGCACTTAATATTAATATTCGATCTTTGATGATTATTTCTGGTAATACAGAGATACTGCCATATCGACTTATACCAGACTAAAATTAATTGTCTCCAGTAAAGCTAAATTTTCTATGGAATAAAAAAATATTTGATTTATTTATTTAAATTAAATTTATTTTTATTTAATGTGAAATCATATAACACTTACTAAGAAAACCCTACTCCCCTACATCATCCAACTAGTCGTTTTACAATCTTTCGTTTTGTGCCCACAGCAAAGAACTCTGAATTCGTAGTTCATAATTCCAATACATATTGCAAATGATCAAACAGAAGTGTTCCTTTTTTAATACC